AGTTTTAATTTTTTTTTTTAGGGGGGTTGGGGGGGGGTTAGTCTGCGGAGTATGGGACAAATAATTTATATATACAGAACGTGCTGTAAGCAAAGAAAATGTTTCAGTGTCACGGTAGGAGGGAAAATAAGCATTTCTTTGAGTTTGAAAAAAAACCCACATATTTACAGTGTTTTAATTTACAGTGTGGCATCATATCAAACCACAAGATGACAAGCATTAAGTACCGCAAAAGTTACTGGATAATTTTTACACTAAGGCCACAGCAAGTAAATTTTATGGATGACATCCTCCGTAGACTCCAAATCTATTGCGAGCGGGCGAAAAAAAAACCAAGACGGGTAAAAAAAACACAAGGATTTTACATTTTTAAATTTTGACTCAATCATTGTACAAGTGGTTTTGATTCAGTCCGAGTGGAAACATCACATATACACAGCCAGCATCACATATCACTGCATCAAAGTAAGAAACAAAACATTAAATCAGAGCCTTGTCTTGTCTCCACTCTTCATGGTTATCTGCCATCCACCTTCCGGCATGGCAACAGACATCTTTGCCCATTTTCGGCATGTTGACTGTAGTGATGTGAAACAAGTTAATGATTTAGAGTTAGCCACCCCGCAACCTTGCCCACACAATAACCTTGCCCACGCAGTATAACACATTCCAGATGTTGAGTCAGCCCTCCTACCTCACTGTATATACGAGCACAGTAGAGTACAGTCATGAAAACTCCTCCGGTGTGAGATTCATTATTGAGTATTCTTGAGTGTTGGAGAGAACACTACAACGGGTAAAAAAAAACCACAAGGATTTTACATTTTTAAATTTTGACTCAATCATTGTACAAGTGGTTTTGATTCAGTCCCAGTGGGAACATCACATATACACAGCCAGCATCACATATCACTGCATCAAAGTAAGAAACAAAACATTAAATCAGAGCCTTTTCTTGTCTCCTCTCTTCATAGTTATCTGCCATTCACCTTCCGGCATGGCAACAGACGTCTTTGCCCATTTTCGGCAAGTTGACCACTGTCAGAGGGCAACAAAATTTCTTTTTTTTTCCCAAAATCAGGTGAAAATATATGTGCTCGCTGATGTCATCCATAAAAATTACTTGCTGTGGCCTAATGTACATGTTATTTTTTGTTTTCATTAGTTTGTAGATCAGAAGAAAGACAGCTCAAGTGTCCAGTCCGCAGACTGTACAGAAGATGCAGCCAAGATGTCTGACAAAGCTGCTGACAAGACAGGTCCAACAGCACCCTGCACACCCACCAAGAGAGGGGCAGACAAGAGCACCAGCTCCGAAACTCTCCGGAAAAGGAAGAAGATGGCTTCAACTACCACAGAGGCCACACTGTTTGACTGTATGAAGGTACACAGCCCTCGAACTTAACTTTTCTTCCTATTAGTGATGCATACCTAAACCCAATTTTAGGTTCAGGTCCGGATTCAAGTCCAGAGGTTTAGGTTCAGTTCCGGACTTGTAAGTCCGTACCTAAACCCATGGCATATACAAAATTGCATGTTGGCAACCTTGCAATGCTGTCTGGGTGAAACTTTGGCCATATAACATGGAGGCCGGTACTTGACGATGCCCGATGGCAATGTTTTCTTCGTTTTGCAGCAGAGATTTTATAATCTACGGAAGGTTTTAGGTGGTTTGGAAAGAAAAGGGGTATGTGAAATGGTCTTTTATGGTAATAAGTCCGGACTAGGTTCTTGACTTTTAGTTTTTTTGGACTTGAACCTAAACATTCTTACAAGTCTGGATTCAAGTCCAGTGAACCAGTATGCATCACTACTTCCTATTGTCCCCGTACTGTCCCAAAAATAAGTTTCAATTGTCCCGAAGTGAGGATGAACTGTCCCAACCTGTATTTGGGAAGTATAGTATGACGTCAACTTGAAATCAACTTTATTTTGCTTATGTTCACTCCAAGCCCACTATAATTGCAGTGAAGACAGGAAATTTTGGGGGAGTTTTCCAGATCCAAAAGCCGAGACGTGTGCCTGATGAGCAAAAGAAGGGCTGACATTCTGATGTTGATTATTTTTCACTGTCTTATCTTACTGTTCCATCAGGACCAGATGTTGATTTATATGATTGAGACAGACTTGTCTTTTTTGCTGTAGAATTACCTACAATTTAGAGTGGCACAGTAATGGTGTAATTTCCATCTTTCACATACAAATTGGGCTGGGAGATGATACAGGGCTGAAAATACATTTTTTCCTTACCTGTTGTCGTGAAGGGTGCTTCAGAAATGGTCTGCTTGTGACAAATTTTAGCTCCACTGATTTTTTTTTTCATTTTTTATTACAACATGTTATCACAAGACGTGGTGACGGCACACTTAAGTTTTTTCAACTTTATTAAATTAATGCCGCCACTTGCGACAAGAGAAGATAAGTGCACCGACAACAGGCACTTACGTGACTCGTTCAGGGAGGAACGTGAAACCTCCAGATAGACTGACCCTGTAATAACAGAACTGAACGGACAATGATTTCAAAGGAAACGGACTGGAAAAGATACTACGAGAATGGACTATATACTGCATGAGTAGACTTGCACGAATAAGAAGGCCATAAAGTAGAGTAATGCATGAAATTAACAGATAAAGGTAATGCATGAGTTCTATAGTTGTTGTATAATGCAAGTCTAAGGAAAGGAGGGATGTAGTGATGTGAAACAAGTTAATGATTTAGAGTTAGCCACCCCGCAACCTTGCCCACGCAATAACCTTGCCCACGCAGTATAACATATTTCAGATGTTGAGTCAGCCCTCCTACCTCACTGTATATACGAGCACAGTAGAGTACAGTCATGAAAACTCCTCCGGTGTGAGATTCTTTTTTTTTTTTTTTTTAATTCGTTTATTTCACATTTTACATACAGTTGTACATACAAATATATATATGGCTTACCCCTCGTTACATCGCTAATTCTAATTGTTGGCGCACAGTTTGAAATCTGACAGGTTCATTTTGTACAACATTTTTAAAGATGTAATATTTACATAACAATATGGATTTGTTTAGAAGAATATCTGACTTGTGTCCATAAAGGATATCTTTTTCCTCTAAAGATATTGGTGACTGAGTTTTGAAATTCCACCAGGTGATGAATTCTTTCCAAAAAGGTTTAACAGATATACAAGTTACAAATACATGTGGTATTGTCTGTTTTTCTGAACAAAAAGGACAAAGGTCAGACTCTTTCACATTTATTTTCTTTAAATAGGAGTTGGTTGGTAGAAAACCGTGAATAATTTTGTATTGAAAATATTGTACTTTTGTGTTGTTTGTGCATTTATAGGGCATTGTATATACATTTTTTAAGCCTTTTTCATCTTTAACATGTTGTATAATTTCTGTTTGACAAGTAGGAGCTACAAAGGTCTCATTGACAAGGAAAGTATACAGCTGTTTACATGTAAATCTTGGAAGTTCAAAATTAAAGGCCTCCTCCTGGTTGTAATTCTGCTGATTATTTCTTAAAAGCTGTTTCCATTTTGTAGGTACATGTATAGCCATTTTTATAGAATTATATTTCAAAACATTTAAAGGATTCATTTCAATTTTGTATTTTCTGGCCAATAACTCTACTTCCAGAAAGCGGCCTTTATTACATACAATGTCATTAACTGTGGTAATACCTGCTGTTATCCAATTTTTGTAAAAGATTGACTTCCCTTGACTACAGATAAATCTGTTGTTCCATAGGACTTGGGCTCGTACATTGCTGTTGGAGTCTGGTTCAGTTTGTATAATATTTTGCCATGCCTGCAGTACTTGTCAGTAAAAGCTAGGTAACTGAGACAGGTCTAAACATGTGATGTCATAATTACATCTAAATAGTATTTTTCTGCCCCATCTTTTAAATATATTTTCGCTTTCTATATTTTGTTCTAGTTTCATTACCCATGCTGCTTTTAAGGCTTGACATTTCAAAATAAAATCGACCATTGCTAATATTAACCCCCCTTGTTCTTTCGTTCCAATCACTGTTTTCATTTTTACTTTAGGTTTTTTGTCATCCCATATGAATTTGAAAATGTACTTATTGACTTTCTCAGCAAAACCATCAGGTACCGACAAAGCAGTACAATTGTAGACGAGTTTTGAGATGCCAAGAGCTTTTACAAGAAGAATTCTACCTATTGTTGTTAAGTTCCTAGATCTCCAAATATTTAGGGCTTTTTCCATTTTTTGTAGTTTTTGATCAAAATTACACTTATCACATTTATCTATATCATATGAAAAATAAGTTCCCAAGGCGAGGATTGGTTCATTACTCCACTGCACCTGTAGAAGCTTGTCCTTTCTAAATCTATTGGAGCCAAGCCACATTGTTTTTGTCTTATTTGCACTCATTTCTAGACCGCTACATAGTTTAAACTGATTGAGTACGTCAATTAGAGATTTTGCTGAGTTAACATTTTCTAATAGCGCAGTCATGTCATCTGCGTACATACTTAGTTTTCTGCGCGGTCCATATACATTTAGTCCTACTATGCAGCTATCATCTCTGATAGTACAAGCTAGTGTTTCTATTGAAAGGTTGAAGAGAAAAGAAGATAGTGTGAGATTCATTATTGAGTATTCTTGAGTGTTGGAGAGAACACTACATTGACCACTGTCAGAGGGTAACAAAATTTCTTGTCTTTTTCCCCAAATTCAGGCGAAAATTAATGTGCGCGCTGATGTCATCCATAAAAATTACTTGCTGTGGCCTAATGTTCATGTTATTTTTTGTTTTCATTAGTTTGTAGATCAGAAGAAACACAGCCAAAGTGTCCAGTCCGCAGACTGTAAAGAAGATGCAGCCAAGGTGTGTGACAAAGCTGCTGACAAGATAGCTACATCAGCACCCTGCACGCCCACCAAGAGAGGGGCAGACAAGAGCACCAGCTCCGAAACTCTCCGGAAAAGGAAGAAGATGGCTTCAACTACCACTGAGGCCACATTGTTTGACTGCATGAAGGTACAGTTTTGATACAAAACTAATACATGTACTTTTGTTAACAATTTAGCAAGTTACGTAAAGGCGTCCAGTGCAGTTTTTAGGGCTTGGAAACCCAATTTTTCAGAGCCAATATTCTAGTCATTTATCTACATTCTACATACTAAGTTAAAACCACACTGTCTCAATGTATATTGACCCTCAAGGAGCAAAAATTCCAAAATCCTGATGGAAAATGGTGGAAGGGCACTGGGCTGATTTTTAGGGTACCACCCAGAAAAAAAAGGACTAATTTTCTGGCTTGTTTCTGCAGTTTTAAAAGCCAAAAGTATGAAATTCTGACTCAAATGTGCCAATGTGAAGCAGTATGTGTCAATATCAGAAAGATTGCCTTATTCAGAATATTTCCAGTTTTGCTGCCCTAAATCGCATTAGATGCCTTTAAGAACAGTACAGTCCTTCACATTGTAAGTGATTCACAACCTTACAGTACTATGGCCACACCTTATACAGTACTATGGCAAGCACTATGGCTGGATCAATCAGTTATATTGAGGTCACCTGAGATAACATTCTGCAAAATGGCAGCCACTCTAGTCCCTAGCAACTCATCCTACCAATAGTAATCTCCTTACAGTCCAACCCCAGGCACTGAAGAGAGGGTCAGAGTAGTTGTCCAGTGTTCTAGCCAGGCCTTTTTAGCAAAGGGGCCCGCTATGCTATGATTTTTACCCCCTATGCTATAATTTTGACCCCTACATGTATACTATAATTTTGTCCCTATGCTAAGTTTCAACCAGCATAGGGGTGTTTTTGGAGGGAGAACCTTCATAAATCTTGCAAAAAATGAAACTACAACTTCAGAATGAAGCTATAGCAAAGGAAAAACCTTAACTTCACAAAATCTGTTCCACATTAAACATTACAAGAAATACTAGTAGTGTCTGGGGGGGTTATGAGTTTCAAAATTTTTCAGCAAAATGCGTGATTTGTGCCACGAAAGTTGCTCTTCTGTACCTGACCCCTATGCTATGAAAAAATCCTGGCGAGAACACTTTTGTCTCATCTAATAACCCAATTGTACAGTTGCAAAATCCATAGGCTTAGTCGAACATGAAACAAGTTGAATGCCTGACAGCTATATATTAACTATATAGACTGTCTTATCTTACTTTTCCATTAGGACCAGATGTTGATTTATATGATTGAGACAGACTTGTCTTTTGCTATAGAATTACCTACAATTTAGAGTGCAACAGTAATGATGTACTTTCATATACAGGGATGATACAGGGCTGAAAATACATTTTTTTACCTGCACTAACCTGCACATACCCAGTACATGGACCAGTGCAGGTTAGGTGCAGGTAGACATCAGAAATACCTGCACAGCTCCAATTTTACCTGCACTAACCTGCATATACCCAGTACATGGACCAGTGCAGGTTAGGTGCAGGTAGACATTAGAAATACCTGCACAGCTTCAACTGTACCTGCACTAACCTGCATATGCCCAGTACATGGACCAGTGCAGGTTAGGTGCAGGTAGACATCAGAAATACCTGCACAGCTTCAACTTTACATGCATATGTAGGTGGTATTTCGAGCCCTCGCAGACATTATTTCTGTTATTACAGGAAGGAACTCCGAAAAAGGGCTTCACGTTCAAGTTGGATGAGTCAAGTGGAGAGGAGGAACAGAAGTGCATTAGGGTGCCAGCCAGGAGGAAATTGACAATGAAGAGAGGGAAGAAAAAGACCAACGAAGCAGACAACACAGCTTCAGAGACAGTTCCAGACAGTGCACAGAAACCAGAGGTAATTCTAGTCTTCCCTGTGGTAAAAAGATCTCCAATTCAAACTAGCTAGGACATTGACTTTATTCAAGCCGTAGGGCAGTTCCATTGACTATCCAGACACAGAAGTTTTGGCCTAAATGATATACAGATCTAAAGACTAGAAAAGTAACATTTGCAAAGCAAATGCATAATGTTTACCTTCGGATATGGTCTGCTCTGTTAATTCTTACTCAAACACATTCACATACATGTATATGGTGACAGGAGTCTAAATGCGTACTATGAAATTGCAACATTATGTAACCCAACACCAGTTACTATGGTAACAGACGTCAACAAAAGAGGCCATTGGTCAGGTCAAAGGTTAGTGTTTGGAACAGATTGAAGAAGAAATGGAACAAAAACATTATGTTTTCCTTCGGTAAACATAATAACAAATATACGACATAGAATAACCACTATAAGACTTAAGATAAGCTCACACAAACTTCTTGTTGAAAAGGGTAGACACAACCACATTCCTCTGCAACAAAGAATTTGTCATTACTGTAACCTAAATGAGATTGAAGACGAGAGTCATTTTATTGTGGACTTTACTCAATATAGTAATGAAAGATTCTCTTCAATTGTATACAAGATTATGTCCTTAATTAGTTTTAGATTTTTAGATAGAAGAGAAAAATTCACATTCCTCATGAAACTCGATAATCCTCGTACTATAAACTCCATCTGTTCTTACATTTACAACAGTCTTAAGAAGCGAGAAGAAGCAGAACCTGTACATATGTAGTTTTACTATGATACTAGATAATATTTTAGTCTACCATCGCTATTTATCATGACCCGTACTTAGTTCGCAATGAGCAAAAATGTACTTCTTTCAAATGTCTTTCTTTCATTCATTCAATAATACTAATAGTTTTTTTTATTAATCATTCTTTTTATTAATTTTCACAAATATAAGATACACACACAGAAAAACTTATACTGAAGGGACATGCAGAACACAGAAAAAGATAAATAAAACCAGAAAACAATGAATAATGCTTACATATTTGAATAACAGACAAAAGTGTTCTCTACAATGTTTTCAGCGTTTCAGCTATTTTCCCCGATTTACCAGTGTGCTTTTTATTTCATCCATCTTTTTTTCTATAATATGTTCTAATCTATGAAAGTATGATACATATGAGATGAAAGCTTGTAGGTTGAGAGAAAATTGATGGTTTTTAAAGATAAATTTTTCATTCAATATTATTTTCAACTTGGTTTTGTCTTTCCAGGTTGTCCAGTCTTCACCACAAAAGTCCCGAGGCAAGGCTAAAAAACAACAGGTTGTAAAAACAGTGAAAAGTGACGTTCAGAACAAAAAGTCATCAGAAACCACCAAAGAAGAGAGCAGGCTGGAAGATGGTAGTAAGGGAGTAACACTAACAGACACCCCCCCAGTCCAAACAACACAGCAGCCCAGTACCCCCCTGGCCAAGCCCAAGCGACCCATGGTGACCATGACCCCCTCCCCCTGTACCCCCTCCCCTGGAGGCAGCAGGACC